AGAGAGAGAGAGAGAGAGAGAGAGAGAGAGAGAGAGAGAGAGAGAGAGAGAGAGAGAGAGAGAGAGAGAGATAAAGAAAGAAAGACAGACAGACAGACAGACAGACACAGAGACAGAGAGAGAAACAGAGAGAGATTGGCGGTGCGGAAATAGCAGCGTTCGGAACCGTCATCTCTCGTCGAGAGCCTTTCGAAAACGTGTGATTTTGCATGCATGCGTCACATCCTCTTCTTCGCGGAGGAACCGAGGTTCGAAAATCGGCCCAAGGGGAGTGTGTGGTTTCTTGTGTCAACCCACGGTAGGCGTGCTCCCTAGTCGCATGTCCTGTGTGCTGGTTCTGTTGCGCGAGAGAACCCTATGCAGTAGAAGAGAAGTACGCGGTGACCAAAAAACGCCACCTGAAAATGCAACTCCCCGAGCGTGCGTCGTGATTGGCCCACCTCTCCTTTCGATTACATACAGCCTGGACACGTTTCAGTCCGCTTGTGCAACCGATACGCCTGGATCCCAGCCTAACCGTTGCGTGTTTTTATTCGGCCATCCCCACCCAACGGCCCGCAGGAACACCTTCCCAGCGTGCTCGCGTCCACGGCTCACATGTTCGGGTTGGACCTGAACGTCAACCTGAGGGACGGCGGCGGCGGCCGCGGCGGAAGCGCGGAAGGCGGAGGGGAATCGGGGAGGAAAAGACGCGTGCGCGGCAATGATGTAAGTTTTTGTTGCTGTGGGTGTTGTTGATCCTCCCGTCTCTTTTCGTGCTCTGTAGCCTTTCGCTCGCCGTTTTCATTGTTCGGGTGTGTTGGTGTGCGTTGGTTTGCTCCGTCTTTTAACGTTCGGCCTGTTGGCGAAAACCGGGGTGAATCGCCTCGGTTTCGTGTTGCCGGTGCTGCCACCGCTGCCCTTCCGCCTCTTTGCGTGCTCTGCCTCTTCCGCTCGTGTCGCTTTTTTCGTACTGTATGTATTGGGGTGCTCCGCGCCTTTTAACGTCGAACCCGTTTGCTGACAAACCCGCCGCCAAACCCCTCGGCTTTTGGGCCGATAGGGAGGCGCACCCACAGCAGTAGTACACACCTCCCTCCCTACCCTCAACTTTTTTTTGGCGGTGCTATTTTTGGTCGATGTCCTCATGTGCCCCAGGAGGGCCGGGAACTGTTCCGAAAGATGGCGACGGCCTTGGTGACGACCCTCCAGAACGAGACGAGGGACGCTTGGGAGCTCGGGGCGGAGGCCGCGAGGATCTGGCCGGCCTACAAGCGGTCCGCCGAAGACGGCTGCTGTGAGATCGCTGTTGTTGTTGTTGTTGTTGTAGTAATAGAAGTTACTGTAGTTGTTGTCGTTGTTGGTACAATCGGTCGGGGTGCCGATGTGTGTTCATGTGCTGATGCGGGGAGCATTTGTTGTTGTTGTTGTTGTTGTTGTTGTTGTCGTAGAAACTGCTGCTGCGGTTGATGTCGTTGTTATTGCAGTCGGTCGGGGTGCTGATGTGTGTTCATCTGCTGACGCTGGGAGCATCTGCTGACGCTGGGAGCTTCTGCTGGCGCTGGGAGCATCTGCTGACGCTGGGAGCTTGTTGTTGTTACTGGTGTCGTTGGTGGTGGTGGCAGACAGGGTGCCGACATGTATGCATAGTCTCCATCTTATTCTTGCTCTTCGCCCGTCGTTTTTCTCCTGCTTGTGCCCCCTCTGCTTGTTCTGTGTTTTGGACACGTTTTCCAGACGACGCTCATCTCGCCGCCGCCTTGAAGCCTCTCCTGACGGAGACTACCAAACGCCTGCACGGTGAGCATGCTTTTTTACAGAAACACGACTAATATCCGTGGTTCTCCTGGATGCTACTGACTGAGGAAGGTCCATGCATTATCCATATCCAGTCCCCCCAAGAAGGGGCTACAAATGCCCTTGTCCCCTGCTTTATCCTTCAATCGGGAGTTGCTTCTCCCGCACCGCACCTTCCCCTTCCGAACTGGCCCGCACTGCCGTTAATACTTCTTACATTCAAATTCCATACATACCAGCTTCCATAGAGAACCAAGACCCTGAAAGCCGCCGAGAAGGTTGATTCTCCCCCCGGCGACGAAACAAAGGGAGCAATAAATCAAAGAGAGAGGCCCGATATGGTGTTTGTTTGCCTCTTCGGACCTTGGAACTAGAGTGTGCTGATGTGGCGAGCGAGCGAGCCGCGCGTGGTCGTCGCCTCGACCAATCATTTCCGTAGCACGGCTAGCTGGACTGCCCACGCAAAGAAAGTAACGTTTTAAAATAAAGAAGGCCAGGGAAGGGGCACTCACACTCTTGCCCTAACCTTAACCCTAACCCCAATATAGCCGATTGTATACTTTGTCCAGTATGTTTGCTTACGTAGGGAAAAACCTTCGTAGACCACTGAGCCAGCTCCATAGAAATACCCCGGAGCGCATGGTGCCGGCCCTGTAAGCATCGCCCATTTTCAACGAAGCCCAAAGCTTTGTGCAAGCTGTAAACGAATGGGTCCTGTCATTTGCACAGTTTTTCTGCCGTCGAACATGCATGTTTGCATATTTTGTTTTCTCAGTACTCCAACAGAGTCTCGATTTCTCGTGAAGGTGTTTCGCGCGATCGATCCGGCAGTGTGTTGCCTCGTTCGTTTTTCATTCTCAGCGATAACACCCACGATGCCTAACAACAAGGACAGGTTTCGGACGCCAGGACGACGACAAGCGGCAGAACCAGAACAACAACAGCAAGGACAAGAGGGGGAGGAACGGCGATGCGAAGAAGGAGGGCAGAGTCAAGCCGAACGGCCTGGGGCTCTCCCGGAGCGGGAAACACCTCCTGGTATCGGCTTATCTGGCCAGCCACAACTCCAGGGACACAGGTAACGGGAAGGGAGCAACCACAAAGGGTCAGGGCTTGTATTCGGTGTTGGCAATGGCAAGGGCAACATGTAGTTTTTTTTTTATTGTGCGTGTGCCAACGTTTTCGAGTTGGAATGCGGTCAGGCGTTGCGAGTTGGGATGCGGGCTGTCTCGTTGGGGGATTTTTAGTAGGGTAAACGTGCAAGAGTTTCGAACCGCAAGTGTGCTAAGGACCATGGCGATGGGTGGGGCTGGGTAGCCCCACCTCGGTTGGCCACATCTCCGGATACCACGCTACCATGCCGGGGGAGAGGGGGAGGGGGGTACGCGAATTGGAGGACGTTTTGGCTCCCCAAACCCTCGTGCAAGTGGAGCTCCTCACGCCCGCGAGTTCTGAGTTTTGCCTGTCTACGTCCGCCTCTTTTTTTTGTTTTTTTGGCATGGTTGCCTCCCCCCCCTTTTTTTTCGCGTCGGCGTGTCCCTCCCCGACCCACCTCTACCTCTCTCTCTCTCTTTGTCTGGCGTTGTGCTCTTCGTTTGTGATGTTGTGCAGATCGCGACATGTTCACTGCCAAGAGCACGAAGAGATCGAAGCGACAAAGGTCGACGAGATCGAGCGCCGGAAATGCGGAAAACCTCGTGGAGGCCGGGGTGAGGATTGACCAAAGCCGCAATAGCCGGGGCGGGGGGGGTGGGGTGGGGTACCCCGCCTCACGAAGTCGGGGCTGTAGGCTTTCGGCCGGAGGATTGGGGTCTTGCCGAGATAGGCGTAGCGGGAGTTCGTGTGTACGCTTCTCCCTAGGGTTGTAGTCCTGCTCCGGAATGACGTCCAAGTCTTTGCGCCAAAGGACAGTGCTCGACCCGTCTTGCTTGATCGGAGCTGTTTTTTATGTGCAGAAAACGACACTCTTGCTATCGAATGCACGCCAAATTTCAATGGAACGGGCATGCTTCGTCGTTGATTGCTGTTGTTCAGCGTTTTCGTTCGCGGATCGCTGAACACTTCAAGGTATGTTATAAATTGTGGCCGCCAGTGGCGTTGGCGGTCAACAACGGCGCAGTTTTCCGCCGCCTCGCCGTACCTCTGTCTTGTCTTCTCCGCTGTTTCCGTTCGTCTGTCTGTCTGTCTGTCGCTCTCTCTCTTCCCGCCCCCTCCTCTGTCGTCATGTCTGCCTCACTATCTTTTCTATTGCCATGTTCTTTCTCTCTGCCGTGGTGACCTCACACTATACAAAACTTTCTCCTGGCCCACTACCACTGTGCCCCCCCCCCCCCCCCCCAAAAAGGGGAAGGAACTGGCCGAAACCAAAAAATTTCCACTAAAAAAGCTTTTGTCCATCATGTTCTCCCTCCTGGCCCTTACCGAGGCGGGAACCCAGGCCCCCCACAGCATGGGAAACACGGAGCTCTTCCCCCAGGGACCCCCGTCCCAATCATGAACAAACCCCTCTCTCATTTTAAGGACCCAAATTTTGTGCTGATTTTCCCCAGCTCCTCAACCAAACCATTTTTGAGGGCTTGAAAAATGGGGCAACCCAATGGTGTTTTCTTTCCCCATGTTTGGAAGTGTTTGTCCCCAGGACCTAAAACCGAGGGGGAAACCGTGGGAACATTTCCCACATACCTCACAGGTCAAGGGTTAAAATAATACCCAAAGAAAAAGGTACTGAATAAAAAACAAAAAAATCGGAACGGCTTTCAACGGGAAAACAAAGACAATAACAACAACAACC